ACCCATTATGATGAAGAAGTTGTAGCAGACAAATTTCACTGTCTGGAGACATGGCTGAAAATCTATCGGCAGTCTCCAGAAAGTCACCCTTGGGTGTTTGGGATGCCGATAAGCTTTTGGCTCCATCATCGTTTCTTCCTCCCCGACTGGGGCAGCACCTTCGTCTTCATCACATAGCCCCCGCATGGCGTTAATGAAGGACGATTTCCCACAGCCTCGCTCTCCCATAATGGCGATATTTAACCTGGTGTGTTCCAAAGCCCACTGCTGCATTATAGAAATCATTGTAGGTACTATTTGAACTCCAGGAACAGCCCTTGGTTCTCCCATGTCTTTGGCAGTCTGCCCCTGAAAACACAAAAACCCAGACCAAATATTGATTGTGTATTCTCAAAGGCAACATTTATAATGTAATAGGCTTACAGGAGAATCACAGGAGGCCGAAAGTATATTTGCAACATGCTGCAGTTAAATTGAACAAATCGCTCGTGGGAAGGGACTGAGGACACCTTGTCATTCTTCTTCCCCCACCCCCATAGATGTCAGACTGTCAAAGATCCTTCACCAGGACTCGTGAGAAGTGGCACCACTAGTCTACCATAAAGGCGTATGTCCAGCCCCCTTTCTGCAAGGAAGGTGTGAGATGCATTTGCAGAGGATCCTTTCTGAGCATGCATCCCAGACACACAACTGGAATCTGAACATCTCTGCCTGTTGTGGGGACCCAGGGCAGTTTTGGAGAAGACATTCCAAAGTTACACCTTCCCAACTTTCAAACAGCTGGTGCAATTGTCTTCAGGATTGGCTTGATCTTTAGAGCACCACGAGATCTACCAAACAAGTTAGGTTTGATATTTCTGGCTTCAGTAAGTGTGAGTTCAGTATGAGCAGAAACTTTCTCAGTCAAGTGTCTGTGAGCTGGTTATACAGTTTGCAAAATCAGTGTACAGAGTAGTTTGCAAGTGTAGTAAGAAAATTGTGCCCCTCTTTGTGAGCTGGGGCACCTGTGATGAGAACTTTCAGGGCCAGGTCCTCAACTCCTGTTCTGACTGGAAATCTGCCCTAAAAAGGTCACTGGTGGTTGGGAGTGAGCTGGCTTCTGGTACAAGGGTTGTGTAAAACTGGGCTAACTGGCTCTATGCCACTGACATCTGCATGGTGCTCTGGGAAGAGGTAAACTGGAGGTTAGAAGAAATCGAGGACTCAAGTGCACGGGACTCAACCCGAACCTTAGCTGCTGGAGCTGTCCCTCTGGGACTGCTGCAGATGGCATAATTTAGAATAGCCATTAGCTTGACTACATATGACAGTTAATCCAAAATAAGGGAGAATATGAATTTAAAGCAAACTAGCTAGTCCAGATTAACTCCCTGCATGGATGCTGTGGAAGTGGATTAAGCTAGTTCCAAATAAAGCACACTTTATGAAGAATAAGAGTGTCCATGCAGGGAGTTAATCAGGAACGGTTAGTCAGGAATAATGCCTAGGAAGGCAAACCCTTAATCCACTTTGGACAAAAGAAAAAGGCACGCTCATTCTGGAATAAGAAAATCCCCTTAGGGTACATCTACACTACAGGGGGGAGTCGATTTAAGATACGCAAATTCAGCTACGTGAATAGCGTAGCTGAATTCGACGTATCATAGCCGACTTACCCCGTTGTGAGGACGGCGGCAAAATCGACTTCTGCGGCTTTTTGTCGGCGGCGCTTACTACCAAGAGCGCCGATTCGGGGATCGATTGTCGCGTCCCAACGGAGGTCGATTTCTACCCGCCGATTCAGGCGGGTAGTATAGACCAGACCTTATGGAGTTATTCCGGAATAGTTACTCTGCTTTAAATTCCCACTTTATCTTATTCTGGATTAATTTTTGTGTGTAAACAAGCCCTTAAATAAAGCAAAGGTGAAGTCTCTGCGCCAAGAGGCTTTGAGATGTGACAAAAGAAAGAAAACACGACAGTTTTCAAAATCGCAATCCTGATTTCTTTTCCCTTTCCACGTTTGCCTGACAAATGAATCATTTCAAATGGGCAGCACGGCCGTGTGAAATCCAAAGAGAAAGACCTAGTGACCCAGCCTCCTCCCCTCAAATCTAATAATCTCAGACACACACGTAAATGAAGAAGGGAAGCAAAATGTGTGGAGCCATACCGGGGAGGAATTCGCAGGTGGACTGTAGGTGGGATTGGCCACTCCTAGGTCTATGGAGGTTGACGGGGATGCCCGGAGCAGATGTTTGTTCACCTCTTCATCCTTTTTATGGTCGGACACAGTCTGCTGGGACTCACTTCGAGGTGACTTTTTGTCCAGCCCCAGTTTCCGCCAGGAAGGATTACACATTCGAAGGAGAGCAAATGCTAATATCACCAGTAACACCCCCAGATCAATCCACCACAGACTGCACCATGTTGATGGGCTCTGGAGAAGCTCAGCATCTGGAAAACACAAAATAAACCCAACGGGATGCAGCATGAGAGATGGGATATTCCCCTGGGGCACGTGGGGAGGGGGTTAGAAATGTCCCACAGACTCCAGCCCGGCGGTTCTCAGGCATTTCTGTAGCGTGGAACTCAGCTTCCTAGAGAGAGCATGTCGTGGACACCCACCCTTCCACAGGCCCCACTCCCCTTCCCATTTGACATCACCAAACCTCACCTCCCTCCTCCCTGGTTATCACCTAGACCCCCCGCTCCCCTGCACACAGCTCCACTCCCCGCCGCGTGGAGCAGTTCCTAGCAGCCCAGCTGCCCGGACCCTGGGACTTGTGCGGTGCCCTGTGAGAGGAGCCCTACCCTTCTCCACCGCCACTCTCATCCGCACGGAAAACCTGCCCAGTTGGGGCTTGACGTGGCAGGTGTAGATCCCGTCGTCCGCCAGCTGGACGTTCTTGAGTCTCAGCGACGCGTTTCCCTCGCAGAATCTCTCCGGATACAGCTGGGTCCGGCCCCGGTAAGCCTCATCCTGTGTTTCCAGTGGGTCCGGCTCAGAGCAGTAGCTGTGAACCAGGAGATCTGGTCCCTCCTCTTCTTCCTTCTTCCAGGTGATGTTCAGTGGCTGGTGGTTTAACTCGGACTGGAAGGAGCAATTCAGGATGACGTCCTCCCCTGGCTGAACGATGATGGGCCTTTCCATTTCACTGTCACCTGAGAGGGAAACAAACATCCAGAGAGGAGAGGGGGTTAGGGCCCAAGCCTGGGACTCCAGAGTCCTGACTTAATTCGCTGCTCGACCACAAAACCCCTGGGTGAACTTGGACAAGTCACTACATCGCCCCATACCTCAGTTTCCCCATTTGTACAGTGTCAGTAACAGCCCTGTCCTACCAAACGGGCCCTGTGAGGAGAAGTACATTAAACTTTGAGAAACGCCTGGATCCTATGGAAATGGAAGAGAGATAAGTGCCTGCAATCAAATCCTCATTTTCCCCCCAAATATTTTCACCCGTTGTTTCTGAAATGTAGAAGTTACAGACACAGAACACATCGGTGGGGGTTGGACTGAACTGGCTCACGGCCCCTTAGACTTTCCCTGGTGCCAGCCTTGTTCAGCTCCAGAATCTAAGAGCTCATTTTAAGAAAATGTCACGCTCCAGCCTTTATGGTTGTGAAACTTATCCAAAAGAAGAGGTGGCATGATTACCGTGTATAAGGATTTTCACAGGGAGAAAATACCAGGTACTAATGGGCTCCTTAATCTAGCAGAGACAGGCAGACCACGAACCAGTGGCTGCCAGTATCTGCTGAGAGCCTGAAACAATCTCTTTGAGTCGCAGGAGATGCACTGAGTGTGACCCATTTCTCCCCACCACACAAAACCTGCATGGACATTCATACAGCTAAATGGTGCTTTAAGTCGCACTGGGTGTGAATGTTTGGCCCTGCAGGGGAGTTCTCCTTCCCTTTCCTGGGTAGTGATGGGTAGAACAGAAAACAGACAAGGTCAAGGCCAGACGAGTGTGGCGTTTTTCGTGGATACACTGTGGCTTTGCAATGAGGCGCCCATCTGCCCTGCTGGGTGATCACATGGTACACCAGGCCTGGAGTGATTGTCACGGATGCTATGACCGGGGTACAGGAAGAGGAACCGTACTTAGCACTATAAGTGAAATCTTCTTGGACCAGCTTCCCAGCTCACAGGTGACGTTGCAGAGGTAGGATCCCTCATCCTGGAGGCGAACGTCGCTGAGTCTCAGGGATGCATTTCCCTGGGGGAATTCCTGTGGATATAGTTGCGTTCGGCCCCTGTAAGCCTCTTCCTGTCCCTCCAGCCAGTTCATCTTCAGATAGAATCTGTGAACCAGGAGACCCTGGCCCTGGGCTCCTTCCTTTGTCCAGGTGATGCTCAGTCGATGGAAGCTTATCTTAAATTTGGACGGGAAGATGCAGGTCAGGGTGACGTTTTTCCCATACTGAGCTGTGATGGCTGTCTCCTCTCCAGCAATGCCTTAAAGGAAAGCAAAGATCAGTGTCAGAGCCCTTCAGCCTCCAACCTCTTTCCCCCTCCTTCTCGCCCTAAACATTGAAATAATAATTCATAATAATAATACTGAGATCTTATACTTAGCGCTCTCCTTCCGCTCGTGCTGTAACGCACACCCTCAACTCCTACCTGTTGTCCTGGGACGGCAGCCGGCAGCTGCAACGTCCCTGGTGAGGTTGGGAGCAAAAGTTCCATCTTGCGTGGCATAAACCAGGGGTGTGTTTCAAAAGATCCAAGCATCCCGCCCCTTTCCACCCGAAGGTGAGCAAACCTGCCTCGGCACTCAACTGGGTCGTACGAGGCCATGGAGAAATATCCCTTTCCCCTAATGAACGCCAAGGCCTGGTGCAGGAAGTAGGTGTGTGGGTCCCATCAACAGCCCCAGGACAATTTGGCAATCCAAAGCACTCAAAGCCACCAAGACGTGGTCTGGGTTTCCTTGGTCCAGACTCAGCGCAGGGGGCTGGACTAGATGACCTCTTGAGATCCCTCCCAGCCCTACAATGCAATGATCCTGCAATTACCGTAACTCTATATGTCCTGGTTTTCAGACGTTTAAATGTAGCCACCCACCATATTCTAAACATGCATTGATGCCTTATTTCCAGTCTGAATTTGTCTAGCTTCAACTCCCCGCCATTGGATGGTGTTAGACCTTTCCCGGCTAGACTGATGAGCCTGTGATCAAATATTTGTTCCCCATCTAGGTTCTTATAGACGTGAATCAAGTCACCCCTTCACCTTTATTAAGCTAAACAGATTGAGCTCCTTGTGTCTCTCACTCCAAGGCAGGTTTTCTAAGCCTTCAATCATTCTCGTGGCTCTTCTCTGAGCCCTCCCCAATTTATCAACCTCCTTCTTGAGTTGTTAGTTACCAGAACTGGGCACAGGATTTCAGCAGTGGTCGCAGGGCCAAATCCAGAGGGAAAATAATCTCCCTGCTCCTGCTCGAGATTCCCCTGTTAATACAGCCCAGGGTCACATTAGCTGTTTTGATCACACAGTCATACTGGGAGCTTATGTTCACCTGATTACCCACCATGAACTCCAAATCCTTTTCAAAGTCACTGCTGCCAGGAGAAAGTCCCCCAGCCTGTAAGTTGGGCTGACATTTGAATACTAAGGAGGGAGCAAAGACGTGTTAAACTGCTACCTTACTGTTTGGCCACCATCCTAGTTTTACAGCTTTCTGAAGGCCAGATCTTGTATGTCCACCAAACCTCATATTTTGGGGGTTGTAAAGCTAGTTAGAGGAATGCTTTTGTAACAATTTATTGGCTCTGCTAATAAATAAACAGAGAAAAAAGAAATGAAAAGGTGGCATGTTCCAAATTGATTAAAGGATGTACTTTTTCAAGGAACAGTGAGCTTGTGGAACTCCCTGCCACATGATGTCATTGAGCCCAGGAGTTTGACACAATCTAAACTGGGATTGGATGGTTAGCTGGATAACAGGGAAAGCCAGAATTAGAGTAGTTAATGCTAACATACATTTTGGAAGTGAGACAGGTTTAAGAGTGAGGTTCAATCTCGAGTTCTAAAGGTTTGGCATGAGACCTCATGATTTGGGCAGACCATCCACAGCTGTGGGTTTCTTGCACCTTCCTCTGAAACATCTGGTGCGAGTCTCTGTTAGGACAGGGCACCGGACTGGATGAGCCATGGGTTTGAGCCAGTCTGGGAAACTGCTCTGTGCTTAAACAGCACCCAGCACAATGGGGCTCTGGTCTGAGACATGGGAACCTTGGTACTACCGTAATACCATATGGTGCCTGGCACAGTGCGTTCTCGGGCCAGGACTGGGGCTCCTGAATGCTACAGTAATACACCTAATAAATAGCAATAGTAATGTACAGCACCTAGCACAATGAGTTCCTAGGCTGTGACTTGGGGTCCTGGGTGCTACCGTAATACATTTAATAAATAATAATAATAATGCACAGCCCCTAGCATAGTGGGGTCCTGGGCTGTGACTGGGGTTCTAAGTAGCAACACAGTAACTCCTTGCTTAACGTTGTAGTTATGTTCCTGAAAAATGCAACTTTAAATGAAACAATGTTAAGTGAATCCAATTTCCCCATGAGAATTAATGTAACTAGGGGGGGGTTGGTTCCAGGGAAATGTTTTTCCCCAGAAAAAAGACATTATATATATACACACAGTATAAGTTTTAAACACACAATTGAATACTGTTCACAGCTATGATGATTGTGAAGCTTGGTTGAGGTGGTGGAGTCAGAGGGTGGAAGACAGAGGGATTTTTCCCAGGGAATGTCTTACTGCTAAATGATGAACTAGCACTCGGCTGAGCCCTGAAGGGTAAACACGTTGTTAATGTAGCCTCACACTCTACAAGGCAGCACAAATGGAGGCAGGAGACACAACAGACACATGGCAGTGGCTGCAAACATTCCCTGCGGAAACTGAACGTGATGATGAACCCAGGCTATCCCGCTGGAGTGCACGACTCCCTCCACTTTCCAAAGTGCCGGGGGGTGCATGTGTGAGTGAGTGTGAGAGAGAGTGTGCGTGTGGGAGTGGGTGTGTGTGTGCTTGAGAGGGAGAGACAGAGACACACACTATGTGTGTGTGAGAAAGACACACACATTGCCCCTTTAAGTACGCTGACCCCACTCTAAGTACATTGCCTTTTTAAGCACATCAGCAAGTTGAGACAGCAGCTGCTGCCAGCATGCTCCCTCCGTCCTGTGCCCTGTCGTGTCCACCCGCTCACTCTGTGGAGATGGGGGGCGAAGAGTGGGGGAGGGGAACACCCTGACATCAGCCCCCTTTCCCCCCCCCGCCACAGCAAACAGGAGTCTCTGGGAGCAGCTCCAAGGCAGAGGGCAGGAGCAGCACATGGCAGTGGGGGGAGGGACACCTGAATTGCCGGCAGTCGATAGCCTGCTGGGCGGCTGCCGCACGGGGAACTCAGGGGAGCTGATGGGGGGGCTGCTGGTCCACCCTGGCTCCAAGCCCCCACCCCCCCCAGCTCCAATGGGCTGCTCTTCCTGCAAGCAGGGGACAAAGCAGGCGGCTGCCAAATGACATTAGAAGGGAGCATTGCACAACTTTAAACGAGCCTGTTCCCTAATTGATCAGCGACGTAACCACGAAACATCGTTAACCGGGACGCCATTCCGTGAGGAATTACTGTAATAACGCACAGCACTGAGCCCAATGGGCCTTGGCCAGGCCTGGGGTTCTTGTGTGTTACCGTGATACACCTCATAAACAGCAATCAGAATGGACAGCACCGAGCAAAGTGGGGGCCTGGGTTGTGACGGGGCTCTGGGGCACTGAAGTCGTTATCACCAAAGGCGAGCAGAGCTGGAATACTTACAGCAGAGAGTCCACAGCACAATCGAGTGAAGTGAGCAAACGAGACTGACTCTCGTCATGGTGCGGAGCAGCCTGCATCTGCAAGCGAAGGTGGGACGGTCTCTGAAGGGCTGGCTCCTGCCCCAGGCGAGCCGCTGAACGTCAGGAATGAAGGCGCCGGGCGCGATTCCCCTCTCGCTCACCCCGGTAGCGCTCAGGCGTAACGCCGGGCTGGTTCCGATCTCTCATCTCCTATGTCAAGAAAGCAAAGCGATTGCAGACGTATTTGGCAGGGTGCTGTGGAAATGCCTTTAACAAATGCAGACCTGGTTTCTCACTAATGCTCACACCCCTTTCCCTGGGTGTAATTTACATTGAATGCAATTCCGTAGCAAGAATCCAATTCTCTGACATCCCCGGGGAAGCCGAAATGAAGCCCCAGCCCCTCTAGAGCAGCGGCTCTCAACCTTCCCAGACTACTGTTGTTCCCCTTGCAGGAGTCTGATTTGTCTTGCGTACCCCCAAGGTTCACCTCACTTGAAAACGACTTCC